AACTGTTTTGTTGTTGTTGTCGCTACATTCTTGTACAAATATTTAGCATTGGCAACCTAAATACGTCATTACTAAAAGGCGAAAGGAAAAGCGCCAGTACTTCCATAATTGTAGCCCAGTGCGGATACGGGTGGGTGTGTGTGTGTGGCCATGTGAGAGAATGGGAGAACAACACACAAAAAAGTTCGCCAACTAATATGTCGCAATGGTATGTGTGAGAAAATCTTAAGTATGTTGGTCTCATGTATGGTGGAGGTATGCGGCGGGTGGTGAGACTGGCAAATGAATGAATGAATCACCACCACCCAACCATTGTGTGACGAAGTTATTTGCAATTTCTGTTAAGGCGGAATGAAGGAGAGGGGTGCTGGGGGGTTTAGGTTCTACTGGATTATGTTGTGTGATATTCGTTCACTTATTTCCTTTTCGAACTAAAAACAAAAATTAACATCGACAACAAGAAAGGACCTTAGGTGGCCGAAGGCAGGGAGGCTCAGGATTAAAGCAAAGCAGGCATATAAAATTCACAACTTTTAATTTGAAGAGCTAATATTTTTGCTTATAAGCCAACCCCAAATGACGTTGACGACGACATAATCACTTTTTCATGAGCTGGCTGTGAAGGACTTTCAGGTTGAAGTGTGCCTATCCGAAAAAGTGTTAATTAAAATGTGAAATATTTTACATGTGTGAAAGGGGGAGGAAGAGGAGGGAAGGAAAGAGGTATAGGAAAAAAAAGTAATTTTGTTTTAGACAAATTAAGGAAATAGTTTAAATATAAACACATAAGAGCAAATTATTAAATGCTAAAGGGGATGACGAAGTGGCCTGTTAAAAGACACCTTAGCTAGATGGAAAAAAAATCCACAAGTCCCCAGAGGTGTCTTTTTGTATAGAAAAAACTCCTGAGGTCCCTTGAGATGTATTTTTTTTTTATAAAAAAAAGGTCCCCTGAGATGTCTTTTTCTACAGAAAAAAAATCCTCAGGTCTCATGTGTTGTTTTTTTCTACAGAAAAAAATTCCTCAGGTCTCCTAAGGTGTCTTTTTCTATAGAAAAAAATCCTCAGGTCCCCAGAAGTTTTTTTCCATTGGAAAAAAATCCTCAGGTCCCCAGAGGTGACTTTTTCTACAGAAAAAAATCCTGAGGTCTCCTGAGGTGACTTTTTCTATTGAAAAAAATCCTCAGGTCCCCTGAGTTGTCTTTTTCTACAGAAAAAAAAGTCCCGAGGTATCCTGAGGTGCCTTTTTCTATAGAAAAAAATCCTCAGGTCACCTGAGGTGTTTTTTTCTATAGAAAAAAAAATCGTCAGCCCTGCAAAGGTGTCTTTTTCTATAAAAAAAATTCCTCAGATCTCCTGAGGTGTCTTTTTCTATAGAAAAAAATTCCTCAGGCCAGCCTGAGGTGTCTTTTTATATAGAAAAAAATTCCGCAGGTCTCCTGAGGTGTCTTTTTTCATAGAAAAAATTCCGCAGGTATCCTGAGGTGTCTTTTTCTATAGAAAAAATTCCTCAGGTCCCCTGAGGTGTCTTTTTCTATAGAAAAAAATTCCTCAGGTCTCCTGAGGTGTCTTTTTCTATAGAAAAAAATTCCTCAGGTCTCCTGAGGTGTCTTCTTCTATAGAAAAAAATCCTCAGGCCAGCCTGAGGTGTCTTTTTCTATCGAAAAAAAAAATCATCGGGTCCCCTGAAGTGTCTTTTTCTATAGAAAAAAATTCCTCAGGTCCCCTGAGGTGTCTTTTTCTATAGAAAAAAATTCCTCAGGTCTCCTGAGGTGTCTTTTTCTATAGAAAAAAATTCCTCAGGCCAGCCAGAGGTGTCTTTTTCTACAGCAAAAATTCCTCAGAAAAAATTCAAACTATTTAAAATGATTGCCTTATATTCCTGAAATTTATTTAAAATCTCTGAAATTTATTTAAAATCTCTTCATCTTGCTTTTCCCAAAACTTCTAAATTGCTTTTGAGACTTTTGCCAAAAACTTGTGATATAGAGTAGCCAGTGCTGGCATATGTGTTGGGGGCTGTGGTGGTGGTGGTTAAGTCTGCAATAATTTGTTTCTATGGCTGTAGTGGTTGGTTGGTTTCCTGGAAAACTTCTAGACGACTGTGCTGCAGCATTACCTGTAATTAGTTATGATAGTCAAAGTTGGAGCCAAAGAACACACACACACATACACAGTCTGGTGTGTGTGTGTATGATTGCATTTATTAGCAAATGATGACTGACTGCAGTGCAGAACCAAAAATAATCTCAAACCCCTTCCCACCCCTTCTTCCTTTAAGACAAATACCTAGAGAAACTTTTGCTAAAACTTTTAGGTGGCTCAAGGATAGCAGGATGAAAGAAGCTAGTTTTCTTGTTTGCTTAAAAACTAAACTTATTAAACAACAAAAAGAAGTCCTTCCCTCGGGAGATTAGTTAGAGAGTCAGTCCCCATCCGATTTCTACCAGGAAAACAACACCAACTACCAACCAACAACATATATATTTTTTTTTAATTTATAAAATTTTTTGTTTTTATGATTTGTTTCATCATATCTACTACACACACAACATCATCTCGTCTACTTACTGTATTGCTGAGCACGTGTTCCATAGAGTGGCTCCTGAAGCAAAGGTGAACGTCCATTGGTAATTTCTTTAACTAAAATTAAAGAAGAAAACACCAAACAAAAATACAAAAATTAGAAAAAGGTCGGATTTTTTTCAGATCTTCAGGATATTTAGAGAAGTGAACAGAAACAACAACAATAGTAACAAAAAAATAGAATAGAATATGCAAGGCAAATTACGTTGGGAAAGTTTCCGTTTTTTTGTTTTTGTTTGGAACTGGGCGGGGAGAAAACTATTCCCCAGCTTTTGAGGGGGAAGTCATCAAGGTTTGGTGGGTGGGAATAGTAAGTAAGTAATGTTGGAACGTTATTCTGGCCACAAGATTTGTTTATGGAAATTGGAAACACACCAGCACCAGCAGTCAAACCACAACCTGTCCTTCCTCTTCCACTCTCTCTATTTATTTCTCTGTCTCTCTCTTTACTACCTACCTTAATAATGTACTTGAAAGTAATTTTCGTGCTAGTACTTGAATTGAATTACTGAATTCAAATTCAATGGATTTCGAATGCCCCTTACACCACCTAACCCCCCACAAATTCCTCTTCACATCTCCCCCTCTCTCTCTCTCGTCCTCTGCTTTGCACTAGTTAACACTCTGTTGCAGCAGGTTATCACCAATGCTTCAACGTCATCACAAGCGTTTTCGATTTGAATAAATTCTCAAGTATGCTCTGCTTCGTATGCCAACCTCTGCATCCCACCCCTCGGTCCGCATTGATAGTTTTTTTTGTAATAATAATTCTACATTTCAATAGTTGATTTAATTTTTATTTGATTTGGATACAAATTAGAATTCAATTTAAGTGAATTGCAAAAGGTAAGGTGATGATGGGGTCTTGGGAATAATGAATGCAAAAGTGGAATTTTGAAAGGGTGTGAGAGGAGGAGTAGAAACTCGGGATGTTTTTTTAAGATAACTTTTACTTTAGAGGATGGCATTTGCATAAATAAAATAAATGTAAAAATTATATATATATGTGTATAATGAGGAGAGAGAGAGAGAGATGGAAAGAAGCATTATGAGTAGGGGTAGGTGAAAGAAGCATTGTGACGAGGAGGAGGTAAAACGGCTTAGGTAGGAGATCAGAAAATAATTTGTAATTGTTACTATGAATTATATACGAAATCAACAGAAATCTTTTACAATTAATTGCATTAAAAATCGGGCAATATACTCTCGAAATTCCTCTGGAGATTTTTTTTTTGGTATAGAATTAGAATTTTTATCAATAATGTTGAATATAATTTTAAAATTCAGTACAAAAAATAAACTTCTATAATTCAATATAATAATATATATTATAAATATTATTGAGACAATTTTGAAATTACCAAATGTATCACCCTTCCCTCATCTCTTTCACTTCAGAAAAAGATCACTAAAATTTGGTTTCAAATTTATAAACCGAATTTTTAAGATAGGTCAGTTATCATCATCATCAATGAAACCGAAATCTTGTTTGTTTATTTGATTCACTTAACACAGTTAACATTAATTATTTATTCATTCATAACAGAACGGAACAACAACAAAAATAACAACGTGATAATTCTTACTAACAGTAGCTACTCATCGAAAAAGGCAGTAACAACAACAACATCGTCATTATCGCATCTTCATTATCATCAAAAGCCAGTCATATAATAATCTCATATAAAACAAATTATTCATTTCGTTTTTATGTAAATCAAAAGATAATTTCTATTCATATTCAAAGAAATGCCTGCAACAACAACAAGAAGAGGGGGAGAAGTAGATAAAACAACAACAACAACAAAACAGAGGCATTGAGCTGCTAACTCAAATATAAGCTGCTATGTTTGCTTATAAAAAATAAGCCAACACAAAACAAGTAAACAAACAAACAAAAGATAGGCCACACATAAAACTATAAAAGAAGTTAACCCCCTTATTTGACTAGTGGGTCCACATGGGGACATAAGGCGATATATTAAAAAAAAGAATAATATTATTTAAAGCACGGTATATTATGAAGCTATAGCCACAAAATTTTGTCAGCCCTCTAAATTACATGTGAGATCCTTGGGGTATATTTGGGCATGCGCCAACTCCCCGAATGGGAGTTATAAAAAATAATCCTAATTATAAAATCTAAAAAAAAAAACGGATCGGGCAGTAAGTTATATATAACCCGGAGCGGAGCAGCATAGTCGGAGACGGTAGACCATATGATACCCTACACAATTTCCACTGAGCTCTAAATTTCTGCGAATTTACATTCCGAGACTTGGTAATATTTCGCGATATTTGCGGTCTTTTGACCAATTAGTGTTAAATAGTTCCTTTGCAGCGTCTTTTCCGAATAATGGTTTCCGGGATGAAAATTTGTTCCATATAATTCAATTTTTGTTATTTAACACAAAAAAGTTCGTCATCAAGATATCCATTCGAACTTGTTGAACAGATCGCCTTTCCCATGGACAATTTGTGATGTTCGGCTGATAATTGTAACTTCTTTCGGTCCATTTCATCCCCGAAATATTTTCTATTCATCACTAATGGTCTTGGCCATAATCGGAACCTCAAGCAAAATATCCAAGCCACCAGCCTACATTTTTCTGTCCTCTATTGTTTGGTACATTTCATCCACTAAATATTAAATATCATTACAAAAAACCATAGGGGTATTCTTTGGCCAGAACATAACGTGACAGACGGACACACATGTCTAGATCGACTAGTCGAGATATGACGATCAGTGTACATAAAGGTGGGTCGCAGCTTTACAAACTCTTGGGGCTAATAAAAACTATAATAACCTGACAATATAGTTGTGTAGGGTAAAAAAAACATAAAAAACTGAGCTTGAGTATAAAAAGGCCAATCCTCAATGATTTCCTTCCTCGAAAAAAAAATCAGAGAACATCTGGATCAGCTTGAAAGAAAATGCCTGTTTTTAACTTTTCTATGAAAAAAATTCTGACGTATGTTTGATAATAATTATTATATGGGATTTGGGGCGTATGATTGTTATATTACGCCTGACAATTGACAATATAATAAATATTATTTTATTTCGACGCCTCCGAACCATAGTATGCTAAGTCGACTTAGCCTGTTTTAAAGTTCTTTACCTTTTTAGATACTACGGTCCTTAATTTATATTCTCTGAAATTTTGGTAATCATCGGGCAATCCAAACCAAAGTTATAAGCAATAATGTACTAAGCATGGCCCGTAAGATATATGAAACTTCCATACTTTGAGAGCTTCTACTGAAAAACTCACTTTTCAGACTTAGCACGAAGTAAACATTTTTGGAATCCCTCATGTATACAAACAAGGGTTTATTCGTTATTAAAATTTTTGCTGACATATTTTGAAAATGATTTTCGAATTTTCCATTTCTTTGAAGACATATTCCCCCTGTTGATTTTTTTTTTTTTATTTTTCTTGTGCCAAATTTTGGTTCGGTAATTTTTAAAAAGTTGACCAATTTAGTTATATATATATGTATTTTTTTATTTTTTGCCATAAATGTTAACAACATGTTGTAATGCATTGACGTTCCCAGTAATTAATGGCCAATTAAATACAACTGGTAGCAAATCGAAAAAAAACTCAAGTTGTGACTGACTGCCAATTATTGGCAATATTTATTTATTGATAATGTCTAGCGAAAACGAGTGAATATAAAAATCTAATACCAAACTAAGGCATAACAGGTTTTCGCAGCAGTTTTTTTCTATTTAATTTTTTTATTCTATAAAATTAAACAACAACAACGGCAAAAAAATAAATAATCACTTAACCACGACAATCAGGGCAAACGAAACGAAAAAAACAGGGTTAACTTGCAGCTTCATAGCCATCATAAACAGCCAGGCTGCTGGCGATGACTGCCATAGAAAACTTGTTAACAAATTGTTGTTGGTTTTTTTTCTCTCAACTGTTCTCTGCTGAAATCTAAAAATGGCCTATAGACCTTGACTTGGTTTTTGCGTTCTCAGGCGTATGAACCGAACGACAAAATGTGTATATAATTTTTTATGTGTTTCAGAATTGTAGTTTTTTGTTATTTTTGTTTTGTTTTTTAATCACAATTACCCAGATTAGTGGGGAATTGATATGATTGAGAGGTGCCTTTTGGGCAAATCTAATAATTAAAAAAGGCGATATTGATAAAGTTTACCACTTTACTCATTTTTTCAGGTTAAAAAGTAACCAATTATTGCTTATTTTTTCAAATCGTTGTGCAAACTTTGTAACCACCTGTGCTTGCCCAGCAATGTGCATTAATTTGTATTATTAACTAATTGTACGTGACTAAAATTTTTTCTGAGCCAATCGATGCTGGAGAATATGTTCTCAGAATAAAGTATGATGTGACAAATTAAAATGCAGCCATGGCTGTAGGGCAATTTTCTGTAGCGTGAATTGGAACAGGAAATTTTGATATATATAATTTGAAATTACAAAGAATTGAATGGAAAAATGATAGTAAATTTTTAGCTTCCACTTATTGCCGGTATAATTTTAGTATAATTTTGCCTGGAGTTAATTTAGAATTTTGTAGCGTATAATTAATATAGCAATCATACGCCACCAGAAATCAGAATCAATTATTATTAATCATATGCTAGGAAGTTCGCCATATTTCCCCCTATGAGCTCGACAACCAAAAAATGTGATTTCATTCTGTCATTCTGTTTTTTCCGACTGTAGATTTTTTTGTGGTTAATTAGAAATATGGAGACAATGGAATTTATGAATTTTACCCTTCGTATTATCGGTTTTTACCTCAAAGAAAAATCCACAAATTCCAAAATGATTGCCTTAAGTTAAAAATGTAGCAGATATGGTTTTTATTTCGAATTTTGAGGCGAATTATTAATTTAACAATCATACGTCCCCTGAACCCTATGATATTATCAATTTTTATTGATCATACTGATCATTTAGCTTGCCCAGCATAGAAGTACATTCTTTCCGACCATGGAATTTATTTGAGGTTATTTTTAAATAAGATCCTTAAGGACTTTCCAATTTTCTGATTCTAAACCATTT